CCCCTCCCTGTTGTGTGCTGTCTCTCCTTTCCTGGCATTCCACCTGTGCAGCCGTGGTGGGTCCATTTTTTTTTTTACTAAATTCAAAATTGGTTCAGAGATATGGTGCATTCCAAAAACTGAGGTGATGGAATCAGTCAGGTACACTAATGTTAGGGTTCACTTTCTTTATGAGGGCGAGGGGGGGGGGGGAAGGCGGGAAGGAGGAAGGAAGAAAAAGAAAAGTGATGCCATCAGCGATGGCGATATTGGGTTTCATGACAGGGATCCAAAATATATTTATTAAATTCGTTCACCAGCTGCACCCAAACATTTATTTTGTTACAGAGGTGCCCTGTCGTGAGCAAGCCGGAGCACCATTTGTTCAAGAGGTGGCCCTAAATATTTATTTAAAATATTTATTTAATTTGTCGAACTTCACAAATTTCATTAAATGATAATTTAAATCACACTATTTGTACTGCACAAGCCACAGTGAACTTTGGTTGCCGAAGATCATAAGTTCAAAAATGGGCAAAGTTGAGAAAATGACGAGCTGCTCCCTGCAAATAATTGGATATTCGCCTAAGGGCCCCAAACCCCCATGCACCCACCTTCTTTGGTACAAAAGCTACTGAAGGTGTGGTTAAGTTCTTCAGGAATACATAGGTGCCAACAACTTAACACAAATACAAGATTCAAGTAGAATCAATTTCGCTCAAAATCATAGATTAATACCTCAGGGTCCAGAAGGCTAAACCGGTCCACACGCTTTTTCTCCTGCGAGATATTCTGCGATTCTTCCCACCACGGAGAATCCAGCGGCCTGCATAAAAGTTGGGTGGCAGTACACATTGAACCAACAGTTCCTTAAAGTTAGTGGTACCACTGGTAGTTTCAATCACCCGATTTCCGAAACAGAACAGTTCCTTAAACCCCCAGTTCACCCAAAGAGAGTACAGCTATTGCAAGTTTACCTGGCAGGAGCATTTTGATTTGCGCCTGGGCCAGCAGCAAAAGCGGCAGGCCACTTTGGAAAGGCACAGTTCCGAGCTCGCGAGCCTTGGAAGGTCGCTCCGTCAACTTAGGCTCGTGTGGACTGGTGGTTTATTTATGTCATCAATCACCCACGTCCCTCAACATCACACCACATGCAGTGGTAATTTCAATCTCCAGGTGACATTGATCCAATTTTATGTAGTTCTTTTGTCACTGACGCATTCAGTCTACGTGGGATGAATACATTTATTACTTGCCCATGTGCAATGATTTCTATCTGCTATAACATGTCAATTGAATCAGCCGCTGATATTTATGACTTCTATCACTTTTCATGTGCTCATTTAACCTGTGCAGCAGCGCATGAAATCCTGAACTTCGCCCCGACCGCCCATGCGTTTAATTTGAGGTATTAGGTAGCATTGATCCTTCAATAAATTGTGCCCCTATGCAGACAAGTATTTCCCCCATAAGAGTCCCGATCCTGACATTTGTTACTTTCAAAAATGTGCAGAGTTCTTTCCTGTACAATCCTTTCTTTTCAAATCGACCTATACCACTTCCTTAACACTCTTTATTTGAATAGCGGGTCTCGCATAACGCTCCCGCAAGATCCCGCGTTCCGCTGTCGGGAAACGCGGTGGGACCGGTAGGCAGGCCCGACAAACAATGCATGAGGCTCTCGGGGCGGGCCGCCCCGGCGAGGCGCGGGTTGGACCCATATTTGTGACGGGCGTCGTGGCAGCGCGCGGGGGTGTCGGTTCGCGGGGTAAGGTGCCCATGGGTGCATCTGCTGAGAAAAGACGGTCGGTTCCTTTTTTTTTTTTTGGTCGTTTGTGTTTGCGCGCGAGCGCGTCGCGAGGTCGCGGGTGATGTGAGCGGAGCGGGACACGGCGGGTGCGGAGTCGGGCGTGCTGTGAGCGGAATGGGCTGCCCGTGGGTTTCATGCATCTGGCGAGTCCGTTCGTGTTCGTGGCGGTGCGCGCGAGGTCGCGGGTG